CTATGTATTAAAAAAAATAAGTTGAGGATTAAAAAAATACTAATTTTAGTATTTTTAATAGGCCTAATTTATGATATGTTAAAAGAGCCATTTTGTGAAAGAGGGAACTGTGTCTCTCCAGTTTAACAGCTTATTATTATGATTGGTTGCACAGTCAGCCAGATGTTTAGACTATATTGGCATTTTTATTAACCTACTGAGTCCTTTTCAAGAATCTGGGATAGATAGATGTTGATGTCTAATAGTGTTTAAAGGTGTTGTCACAGGATGTAAGCTCTTCCAAGTAAAACTGTCTTTTGCAAATGACTGATAGTAATTTGGGCAATGTTGGTACTGTTCAAGTGGTGATCTAGTTGTTTTGGGACTGCACCTAAGTTGCCTATTATTGTTGGTACTACCTATGCTTTCTTTTGCCATAGTCGTCATCACCATCATCTTCGTCACTGCCATCATCATCATCAACATGCTCCCAAAGTGTTCATTGTGACCAGTGTCCTCAAACTGATCTTGCTATTTAAGATCCTAACATACTATAAAATGGTAAGAATTGAATGAGAATGATGTGAAAAGATGAATAGAGAAGGCAGGTTTTCAGGGATCTGCAGGATGACACTGTACTATTGATAGCAGCCAGGACGTGCTCACTAAGCTAGCTTCACTGGAGCAAGCAAAAATCACTGGGTAGGAGTGATCCTAAAAGCTACTTTATTCCAATACATTTCAGGCATCCTTGAATTGTACCTGGAATCCTATTGATGCCACTTCACTCAGGTAGAAATAATGTTCCATCGATACATTGCAATGTACCCCAAACTGCATGTCCCTCTGCTTTCTATCATCAGCTGAAGTTTCCAAATGTTCTTCAAATACAGCCCCATGTATAATGTGTTATAATAGTCCAGTTGTGAGGTGAGTAATCCAGCAGTGATGAATCTGGTGAGCAAGGTGTATTTGTGCAAAAGCTTTCTTGATCATAGCTTCCAGTTTTTCCTTGAACATTGTCCCTGAGAGATTTACCACATAATTAAAATCCTCTTCAATCCTCTTTAAATACAGAATTTTTTGTCCATTAAAGGACCGGAAATATTTCTAATATGATTTTAAAAGTAAAAATACACTTCCAGTTTAGGATGATGCTTTGAGTGCAGGTTTCTTACCTCTTTCCTGAGCAAAGTGTTTTCAAGCTTCTGAATTATTAGACTGAATGGACAAAGACTATGATTACTGGGTAATTAAAACTATTGGGTAGCAATTGGCAATTGACAATTAGACCCAAACCGTAAACAACTAGCTTAATTTCAGCTGTGCCACTATCTGCTGATTCAAGTAAAATGGCAGAGAAGGGTTTTCTACTAATTTGCTAAAAGAGATCTTGGCTCAGGTATATGTCTTGACACCAACCCTACAAGATCTGGCAGAGTTGTTATGTATATTTATGATAGAAGATTTATACTAAGCTATGCCAGCAATCTGAAAAACAAAAACTTTGATTATGTTGACCCTGTCAACTTGTGGCATATCCTTGGGAAAATGGCAATTTCAGAACTTTTCACTGTTCTCATGTGAAATCCATACACGGGACAAAAAGCCACAGCAGAGTCAGAACATGGCAAAACAGACTGTTTCTACATCCAGCAAAAAAGTGTGGGAAGATATGTATTCTCTCTTTATCTATTCTCTCTCTATATACACTGTATATATGTTGAATCAATATTGAGAGAGACCTAAATGAAATCTATGACAATAGTTTTCCCTGTGACACTTTATGGAAATGAAAGTAGATTTTGATGAAGCAAGATAGAAAAAATACTAACACTTCTGAACACTGGTGTTGGGAAAAAGTCAAGAAGAGTGTTGATACCCGTATATCAAACTGATCCTAGAACAAATCAATCCAAATATTTCATTGAAGATACACATGGCAAGGCTCAAGTGGTTCTATTTTGAACCATTATATGAAGACCCAGTTTCATAATACTGGAAAAGATGAAAGGAAAAAGAAAAGGATGACCAGCAGTAAAATATATTTACTAAATTATAGTGGTAATGGCTATACTCTTAGAAGACTGCTGAGGCTCTGAATTAGTTGAAAAAAAAACTTGTACCTGACATGAAAATATAATAAGAGTATAGCAGCAGCATGCAGGTTTGTTTTTAATCCCATAATGGATAGAAATATGTGTTAAAGAAGCTTCCACTTTTATCTCAGGACAGTGTCTATCTCATATAACAAAATGCTTTCAAGCATCTAGTCTCCTTTAATTTTTGTGAAAGCATAATTATGTAAAGAACTTAAAATTCAGTCCTTCAGAATTTGACTTCTCACTATTACTTTTCTCAGAAATTACAAATAGGACTTGACCTATTCTGAATAGACCTTCAGCTAAATTATAGAGATTGCTTAGTAAGGCTTTTTCACCTCTCTCTATGTTCTGCCAATATTTAGCAGCCAGGATACATTTTCCTCTGAAAGAATTAACAGCAATGAAAATTGAAAACG